TGGCATTTTAGCCAGCCAGGCCCGGGACTAAAACCGCAGTCGACTACATGGGAGTCCAGCGACATAGCCATTACGCCAACTGCTGGTCCCCATCCAATGTATTTCTGAAGCGGCCGGGTATGAGACTTGAACCTCACACTTGGCCATGTGGGCTCCAGCTACTTTAACCACCACACCACCAGCTGGCCTGTTCCTTATTCTGTTTGTTTATGTATGTATGTATTTATTTAGGTTTTTGGCATAGGGCCCATGCACTCGCCAGAGAGAGACAGTAAGAGGGAAAGTGAGAAATCACCCCCGGGGGGGATGACCACACTGCTGTCCCTTCTCCTCCATCCTCCTCCTGGGATTTGGGGCACGCACAGTGTGATTTTCTTTCTTTTTTTTTTTTTTCTTTTGAGAGGTTTTTGCTATAGGGCGCGTGCGCTCAGCAGACAGACAGAGAGAGACAGAGAGAGAGAAAGCGAGAAATCACCCCCCAGGGAGGATGGTCACGCCGCAATCCCTTCTCCTCCATTCTCCTCTCGGGATCTTGGGCACGCACACACACGCGCCTGGCGTGAGTTTTAAGCCACCGGGTCCAGGACGCGAACTGTGGTCAACTACGTGGGAGTCCAGCGACATAGCCATTACGCTAACTTTCGGTTCCCTACAGTGTGATTTTCAAGCCTTCAGGACTGGGACTCAAACCTCCGTCAGCCCTGTGGGAGTCTGGTGCCTTAACCACCATACCACCTACTGGCCCTGTTCTCTTTTTTAAGATTTATTTTATTTTTCCCATGAATGAGGAAGAGAGGGAGAGAGAAAGGCACCCCAGTCTCAGCCCACCACGGCCGTGGGCACATGCTTGCCTGGCGTGCCCAGAGACCGCGATGCAAAGCCAGACACTTGTTCTTCTTTCTTCTTATTATTATTTAATTGTATTGGTCGTTATTATTTAATTTGACCCGAGAGAGACAGAGAGAAGGAAAGTGTGAAAGCAAGCTGCCAGGTCTGGGACTCGAACCACAGTCGGCCATGTAGGAGTCCAGCGCTTTAACCACCTTGCCACCTGCTGGCCCCGTTATTCTTATTTTTAAAAAGATTCTAAACGCAGCTGTAGATAATGAGCTCATGGCAGGGTTCGTGGGGCCCACGTCTGAGCCACGGGACGGCTGGGAGTTCTCAGCACCGAGGCCAAGCCTCCCGCAGCTCCTGGATGTAACTCTCACGTGTTCCTCCTGCTTCCAGGCACTAGGTGGGGCCTCGGTGGCACCTGTGTCAACGTGGGCTGCATCCCCAAGAAGCTGATGCACCAGGCCGCGCTGCTCGGGGGCTGGATCCGTGATGCCCACCACTACGGCTGGGAGGTGGCCCAGCCCGTCCTGCATGACTGGTGACGTTCCCAGTTCTTTTCTGTCACTCTTGGGTGGGGGAGGGGGACAGGGCTTCTCAGCCAGGGCCACCTCTGCAGCGCTTCCCCCTGACACTTGGCAGTGTCTGGAGATGGTTTGCGTTGTCACTGGGGGGAAGGGTTTGCAGCAGCTTTGGAGTGGAGCCCGGGGGGCTGCTCAATGCCACCAGAGCCTGGGACAGTCCTGCCTTGTGCACGATGCAGCCCCTAAGGTGAGTGACAAGAGGCAGCAAGTCACTACGATTACACCTTTTTTTTTTGCTAGACAAAACTTACACTTGAGAGAGAGAGAGAGAGAGAGAGAAAGGGAGAGGAGAAAGCACCCCCCAGGGGGGATGGCCACACTGCAATCCCTTCTCCTCCATTCTTCTTTTTTTTTAAAAGAGACTTTTGCTATAGGGTGCATATTCCCCCCTGTAGAGACAGAGAGACAGAAAGCAAGAAATCATCCCCCAGGGGGCATGGCCACACTGCTATTCCTTCTCCTCCGGTCTCTTCTTGGGGTTTTGTGCCAAGAAGGTATGAGTTTCAAGCCTTCAGTTCCAGGATTCGAACCACGGTGAGCCATGTGGAGGTCCAGCGATGTAACCATTAGGCCATGTGCTGGTTCCTATTCTCCTCCATTCTCCTCTTGGAATTTGGGCGTGTGTGCACATGCGCCCAGTGTGACTTCCAAGCCACTGGGTCTGGGACTCAAACGCAGTCTACCATTTGGGAATCCAGCCACCCCAACCAGCACGCCACCTGCTGGCCCCAGCATATTAGATGCTGTACTATTACTGTAAAGGAAGCTAGAGAAAAGCAAATGTTGACGAAATCTCTTTGCAGTGGTGTTTGTTGCTACCATAAGTTTATGTCATCTCTTTACAGAGGAGTCATCTGTCTTGGTACCTACATCCATATTGTCAGACTACCAGATATTGCAGGGACCAGCAGTTGGCATAATGGCTACGTCGCTGACTCCCATGTAGTCGACCATGATTCGAGTCCCGGACCCGGTGGCTTAAACTCACACTGGGCGTGTGTGCGTGCGTGCCCAAGATCTCGAGAGGAGAATGGAGGAGAAGGGATTGCGGCGTGGCCATCCCCCCTGGAGGGTGATTTCTCGCTTTCTGTCTGTCTGTCTGTCTCTGTCTCTCTGGTGAGTGCACGTGCCCTATAGCAAAAAACCTCTCCAAAGAAAAGAAAAGAAAAGAAAAGATAACAGGTCCCTGTGGGGTTATTCGGCATTTGCTGTTACGGTGAACACAAGAGCTGCAGAAGGTCACTTTTTATTGTGACACATAATTCGCTAGAGAGACAGACAGCTCTTGCTGAGGTCATTGGCATCGTGCTGTGTTTGTTTTTTCCTCTTCTTTCTTGTTTTTGCTGTAGGGTGTGCACACTTGCCAGGGCAGAGAGAGAGACAGAGACAGAGAGAGGGAAAAGGAGAAATCACCCCTGGGGTGGTCCCTTCCCTTCCATCTTCTCTTTGGGATTTGGGGCACACAGGCACACTCCTGGAGTACTGTCCAAGTTACTGGGTCTGGGACTCGAACTGTGCAGTTGGCCATGTAGGATCCAGCTGCCTTAACCACGACACCACCTGCTGGCCTGATATACTGCTGCTGTTTCTTCTTCTTTTTGGAGAGGTTTTTGCTACAGGGTGCATGCACTCGCCAGAAAAACAGAGAGAGACAGAGACAGAAAGCGAGAAATCATCCCCCAGGGGGGATGGCCACGCCGCAATCCCTTCTCCTCCATTCTCCTCTCGGGATCTTGGGCACGCACGCACGCGCGTCCAGTGGGAGTTGAAGCCACTGGGTCTGGGACTCGAACCGCGGTCGACTACGTGGGAGTCC